TCGAAGATTTTGTATTTCTCTAAATTACCGTTATATGGGATGTGGGCGTGGTCATTGTCCGATTTTTTAAATTTTCGGCCATTTAGTATGCTGTACCAGGGCCAACAACTGTGCCAAGTTTGGAAGAAATTGGTGCAGCGGTTACCAAGATATACACATGTAACCATTAGTGGGCGTGGCTACGCCCATTTTCTAAAAATTTATAATATTCTTATTTTTCGTCCGAAAATTATTTCAAATATTAATTTTGAGTGAATTATCTTCAGTAGTTACAAAAATATCGCAGCTTTCGTATTTCTGGAAATTACCGTTATATGGGAAGTGGGCGTGGTTACAGTCCGATTTCGCCCATTATCAATACCAACCTACCTTGGATAAAGGGCTACCAACATGCCAAATTTCGTTGAAATATCTCAATTTTTGCTCGAGTTATCGTGTACACGGACGGACGGACAGACGGACGGACAGACAGACATGGCTTAATCGATTTCTCTATTCATTCTGAGCATTTATGTATACATTTGTCTATATCTATCTCGATTCGTTTTGGCTGTTACAAACAATCGTTATGTGAACAAAATTAATATACCCTTGTGCACAAGTGCGCTCGGGTATAAAAAGGGGAAAACAATAAAGAGCAAAGGTGACAACTAAAGACTAAGATATTTTATGTCATGTTATGTGGATCATCTCACTTCATTTCACCTCATTTCACCTAAATTCAACTTTGAACTTTGAAAGTCTTGTGCTATTGATGGGGATTTAAATATTTGTCTGTTCGGGATTCTAATTGAACTAAACCATTTTCGTAAACTGACAAAATCACTTTATTAGAGGCTCTACCATTAATAAGTTTTTACCATAAAAAATAATTCATTCTCTTTAGTAGCAAAAAAAAAACTTAGCGTATAGTCATACAAAAATAGTTACTAAATAATGCGAAGAGGATTTGATTTGTTTGCAACTTATTGATCTACTATAAACATCATATGTTACATATATATGTCTAATTTTGAGTTTTATTATTTTGGAAGAATTCTGTCATGAGTTTAGCCAACTGCTCAGTCTCGTCCACTGTAATAGCGTTGTAAAGTGACGCCCTTATACCGCCCACGGAACGATGTCCTTTCAATTGAATCATGCCTTGACACTCCGCCTTAGCAAGGAATTTTTTTTCCAAGGCATCAACACCTTCGACACTTCCAATACGGAACGGTACATTCATTCGTGAGCGCACGCGCTTCTCCACCGGACAACTGTAGAAACCATTCGACTTCTCGATTACATCGTAGATCAGCTTTGATTTTGTTGCAGCATTTTTAGTCATACCTGCGACACCACCGTTACGCTTAATCCATTTGAATACGAGTCCCATAACGTAAATACTGAAAATAAATACAAAATATTCTGCATACAATTTCAAAAAACTCTTGTAAATACGCGTAATTTCACACTTACCAAAACGTTGGAGGCGTATTGAGAAGTGAATCGTTTCTAGCCATTTGTTCAAAGTTCAAAATCGATGGCGTGACTTTCATGTGGTGGCCAATTAGATCTTCTCGCACGATAACTATCGTTACGCCGGCTGGTCCAACATTTTTTTGTGCGCCGGCAAAGATCAAACCAAACTTTTTGACATCAATGGGACGTGAAAGAAAATTCGAAGACATGTCGCAAACTAGTGGCACACCATTTGTCAGCGCTGGCACAAAATCAAATTCCACACCATCGACAGTCTCATTGTCACAGTAGTAAACATAGGAGGCGTTGGGATCAAGCTTCCACGTATCTTGTGCGGGCACAGTGGTGTATTTCTGCACTTTCGGTACTACGAAATTGACTTTGCCATATTGTTCAGCTTCTTTTGCTGCCTTGGCGGACCAAGAGCCGGTTACAACATAGTCAGCCACGCCGGTTCGTCCCATTAGATTGAAACACACTGCAGCGAATTGGCCAGTGCCACCGCCTTGCAAAAGTAGAATTTTATAGTTAGTTGGAATGTTAAGTAGTTCCCGTAAATCTCTTAGGGCTAATTCATGAAAAACGCCGTAATTTGGTGAACGATGAGACATCTCCATTATGGAAATGCCAGTTCCATTGCAGTTTAGTAAATTAGCTTGCGCTTCCTTCAGCACCTGGAGAAGAGCGGAGAAAATGGTCTGTTTAGAATGGTAAATGTGGGAGGCGTTGAGAAAGAGTACGTTGCAGCCAAACTGCGACTTCTAAAACTATTTTACCCATCTCTACAGAAAGTGATATAAAATGCTTTCTCAGTAGTGAACGTATCCTAAACATAAGAGGGTTGGATGATTATTTGACTAAATATTTGGTTTGGCAGATCATGTGGGAATAAAAAAGTGGATGTGTTGGGCTCAGTTTTGTTTGCTTAAGAATAAAGTCTACGAATTTAGAATCTGAAAGTTTTATATTTACACATACATACATATCGTCACTGGACACGAATAAAGGCGCGAGCTCAAAAGTTAACCGCGAAAAAAACAAAGAGTTTTTGGGGAATTATGCTGATGTGACAGTTCTTGGCCAGGTATAAATCTATGTCTACTGTCTATGTTACTTTTCGTAGAAATGGTATAGAATTCTTGAAAATAATTTTTTTTCGATCGGAGAAATCTGTTCCTCTTCAGGAAATTCCCAATAATAATACCCAATCATTTATGTAGCCACCGGTTATTGCCAGAAAATGCAATGGAGGATAAATAAAACATTGGATATTGTTATTGGAAGTCTCCTGAACAGAACCAGAGTTTTCCGATTGGAAAATGGTTACTTTCAAGGATTCCACACCATTTCTATGAAAAGTTGTTTTTTGCCATGTAAAATACATGAAAAACTTTCTGGAAGAAGTTGTTGAGGACGAGTAGTCAGAAGTTACCACTTTTTAAATTAGAAAGCGATCCCGTACCTATTAGTGTAATTCTTTAAAACTTTAAATATTCACAATGTTTTGCAAGCCATACTTTTTATGCTATATTTGTACAAAAATATGGTTACAAACAAAACCATATTGATCAAAGTTTAAGACTGCATACAAAACTAAGAAAAAATTAATGAACCCTCATCAAAATTTTAAAATTTTTACTCAGATATTTTAAGAAAATTTCTGATATGTACAAATTTGAAGTCGCTAAGAAATTGCGTTGATTTTTAATATTTTTTTTTGCTGGCGGCTTTAGGTATTTTTCTTCATACAAGGTATGGGTGATTTTTTTATATGGAAGAAAATAATTGTAGAAATCATCGCTATTTCTTAGTTAGAATTGAATGGACTAGAAAACTGCCTACCAGAAATTTTCGTAAAAATCTGAGTGAAAGGGTTAAAATTTTCTTGAAAATTCATTAAATTTTCCTTAGTTTTGTATACAGTTTGAAACTTTTATTTATATGGTTTTGTTTGCAAGCCATTGTGAATATACAAAAAAAAACAGGGTGTACGCAGCGATAATGGGGCGAGTGTATGTTAATGTGTTTAAAAAATTCTCCACACATGCACATTTTAGACTCTTCTACACTCTCCGTCCTTCGTTAAGATGTTTTAAAACCGTTTTCCTTGTTGCTTGCGAATTGTTCTATGATGCTTCTGTAGCAAGCGCGCTAAATAACTCAGATAATGTGACAAGATATAAACAATTCCTATCGAAACCGACGACTTGTTTTGGACTAGTTTTATTAAGATGCAGAACAATTTTTCGCAATATCACATACTCAGAAGTATTGCGGTTTTTGTAAAAAGTTTACGACTTTTGCGACGGCCCTACTAGCATATTGCTGGTCTTCAATTTCCTTAAGCGAATGCAAAAAACGCCACACCATATTTCTCGTAAACAAGACAACATTACTTATATTTTGGCAAATTTTGTATTCACAACATTGCCTGATAAGTTGGAGTAGTAAACTTGCAGTTTTATTTTCGAAAAAATGCTTTGCACTCACTAGCAAAAGACAAAGCGGTTCAAACTAACCTCTTCCGGTAATTTAGCTGGTCCAGCGGCAAAATTAATGACCATTTTGACTTTGTAATCTGCAGTTTAATTAATTTCTCTTTTTATGTGTCGGAAACTGTACAACAACTTAAAGCAAACCACACTATGGCGACTTTAATTCGAGACTGAAATAGTTGGGATGGAATCATTCGGCAACAGCTAACGAAGGCTGAGCGACGAATTGATAACTAAAACCAGACTTGAATATAAGCTCGCCGTGTGACAGCGGTGTATGTACTAATGTGCATCTGTGTGTGTGTGTGCGTATAGATACCTTGCAGAAAAAAATTATCAATTGATAAAAAATAACTTAGTTTTTTTGCGGGATTTCTATAAAATATATAACTTGTAGTTAGCTACAAAAAGCTAACTTGAAACAAGTGGACAAGTAATGCATGAGTAAAGCTCGAGATTGTTTTCTTTAAACGTGTTACTTTTTAAATAAACTGCACTTCGCAAATATTTTTTCGAATTGAGGACAAATAAAAGGAAGATCGAAATTTCATAATATCATTTTCAAGTTATTTCTGACGGAGTTCGGATTTGGGACCCCCTATCGGCAGAATATGTAAACAAATATGAAATGTGATAAAATAAATGAAGTAAATAAATAAAAAACAAAACAAAAAAATATTTAGTTTTTCCTATTAATATTTTATGCCCAAAAGTAGTTAGTTAAAAGTTAGCTACATCAAATGCAGAGGTAACCACCCTTGACTAAATTTAATGCAGAGGTAAACATCCTTGACTATTTCGCGGCCATCGCCATAGAAATATATTTAGTTTTCGTCAAAGAAAATATACAGATAATAAGTGACTTATTGCTCTTTCCTAATCAACTTAAAGTTAGCTTATAGTTAGATACATTTCCGGCAGGGTATGAAGATGAATGTGGAACGTTACATGACAACAAGCCCACTGGCTGAGCGACAGACAACCAACGAGTTAGCAAAATATTTATTTTATTGATTAAATTTGATAATAAGTGATGTATATGCACATATGTACAAAGTAGACAATAAGAAATTGATTGGAAAATTGTTATCACAGGGCACTGGCTATGCAAACCAGTTTAGTTTTTTACAAATATGAAAAATATTTTGTTTAGTCTGACATTTAATCTATATATTAATAATACGCTAACATAGATTTTGTCTTCGTTCGTTTGGCGATTCCACCAAACCGATTTCAAAACCAACAAAACCATTGGAAAGGTAATTTTCTGTAGATGAGGAGAGTTCTTATAGTTTCCCACGTTGTTTTACTTCGCATTTGAAATTAAACTTTGTAATAAAGATATATGTATATGAAGATGAATAAATAAATGTCAACGATGAAGACAAAAAAGAGAATACAAAAGTGAAGATAAAGAGACGAAAATCGAGACGATGAGGGATACATAAGAATAAGGATAACTGAAATTGTAATAAAATTGATTGAAATTTTTTGATAGGAAACGAAATTAATTCAGTCATAAAAGTTACCGAAATCTAAGCTTATTGAGTTGTCGAAGTTAATAGACACAGAAACTTAGTTGTCGAAATTTATGGATAGTTATCGTGGTATAATAATTTTTGGGATTATGGATTTTTTTTTAGTTGAAGAAATGCTTCAAGTTATCGATATTTATTGAATTATCATTATTTATAGAGTTAACGAAATTTATTGAGTTATCGTAATGCATCGAATTCTTTCAACTTACAGAGTTATCGATAATTACTGATTTAGTAAAATGGTCGATTTATCGAATCGAAGTTTATGGGATTAAAATATATCGAGTTATGGAAATTTCAAGATTATATAAGTTTATCGAATTTTATCGTGTTAACAGAGTGTAACGAGTTATCGAAATTTCTTGATAGCTTTCCAAAAATATGGAACTGTCAAAATTAACTGAGTTATCGAAATTTGTAAAAATATCAAAAGATTATCGCGTTATCGGTTTATATCGAGATATATACATTTTTGAGTCTTTAGTGTTTCTGACATTTATCAATTGAGGGTTTTAGTGTTTTTTAAATTCATCAAATTATCGATATGTACCATATTATTGAAATTTATCCATTAGCTGGAATGTATCGGGCAATTCCAAGTCCAGCCAAAGTCCTCAAAAACCTTCAAAGATATAAACAAATTTATTCACGTTTTAGTTCCAATGCATGAGATTTTCCAGTAAGTTGCATTGTACCTTATAAACTAAACTACTACGTTCACTTATTCCTAAGGAATACAAAAACGAAAATCTGGCAAGTCTGATTTCTCTCCGCTCTCAATTTCCGTAAAGCCGTAACTTAATAATGTAAAACCAACAGGTTCTTACGTTTCTTACGGTAAGTAAAGTTTTGACTAACCGTCAACAGTTTCTCATATAACAGGTTGGCTAAAATATTAAGTCTAGACTAACTGAGCTTTAAGTAGGCGAACTCACCATCACGGATGCCAATGTTGGTTGTCTCCAACCAAATTTTTTTTTTGTTTAATATTTTCGAATTTGGTTGCTTGGTAGTTTTTAACCGACTTCCAAAAAAGGAGGAGCTTATCAGTTCGTCCGAATATTTTTTTTCTTTTTTTTATGCGTGTTACCGCATAACTTTGGACCACGTCAACCGATTTCGATAATTTTTTTTGCATCGGTTTAGAATCGATCATTGAATATATATATATATATATATTTTATATGAGAATTGAGGTCGGTTTTGTTTTTTACTTAAAAAATACTTGTTTCTCTGATTTGTTTTTGTTTTTAATTATTTTTATCGAAACGTCGTTCCTCGAAAACCAAGACTACTGAAATTTTGTTGATCTCCCCTTCAAACCATTTTTTTCAGAGTATTCTGAATTGTAGAGAAATTTCAAAGAATTCGTAAAGATATCATCCGAGTTTTTTTTTAAATTTTCTACAATGAAATAAACTGCACACACCTCGACTCTTTTACGAAATTTTCGGAAGAAAATCGGTAAAGCAATGAATTATCTTCATTTTTCGTACAGAAATTTTCTCTTCATATAATTTTTTTTGAAGATTCGTAAAAAATCGTTACAGAAATGCAATACTCCTAAAAATTTCGTTAAGATTTCGGGAACTTTGGTATGCAGGGATAAATATATGTAAATAGATGTGTTTGTGAGTAAACTATAAACTTAAGTTTTTCATTATATTCTGAATATGTGTGAAGTTTAAACACCGCGATTTTCAAAATCCTATATTTAATATAACACTTGCATATAAAAAGTAAATAATAATAATAATAATAATAATTGAGCGTACAAGTTGTTGTTTTTTTTGTAAAAAGTTTTGCTGTTCGTAATAAATACGTAAAAAATAAAGTTGGTTGCTTTTTTTGAGATTGTTGATTGTTGGTTATTTTTTTAACAAGTGGCAACCGTGCTTACCATATAAATGCAAGCGCTCATTGCTGCGAAACTTACGACCATCAATTCATCGTATGTACAATCAAGCGCAAGCTTTTTATGGAATTTAAATTGTTTATACTTATTTATATAAATTTCACGACTTTGAGGTGCCCTACCATTTACGTGGAATATTCATTTTACAACGCTTTTTTAGATGTTGCGTCGACGAAAGATTTTATGATTAAACTTTTTGATTTCCTTCTACTACATAGAAGTTGTTTTTTAATGTCGCTTAACAGTTTGTAAGTCGTCCAAATGAGCGAAAAGCTTTAAAGCACTTAAAGCACTTTCAAGTGCGCATGCACGAACATTTTTAGTCAATTTTATCAAAAATGACAATATTCGAATTAATGCACATTTAAAGAACGTGTACAGTAGTATGTACATATGTGCACTCAAAAGCTTCAACATTTGTGGAATGTAAATAATCGAAAGAAAAGATGCGGAAACTTTTATTGATAGGGATCAAAGCTAGATTATTAAAATTTTAAATTGTACAAGGCGTTAATATCATGAAAAATTCGCCATATCAATTAAAAACTTGCGACTTTTTATGTTTTAGTTACTAAAATCTGGCCTATGTAAAAATTTTATAGCAAATAGAAAATCTCATTTAACTTGCTCAAATAGATATGTATGTAAGCATGCCTGGAGCACTTTGTAGAGGTATAAACCTATAATTAAATTATAGGTACAGCATAAGGAAAGGTATTATGAAATTAAAATAGGGGAAATTTAAATTTAAATTAATGTCGACCTATTTACCCTGGGAATTAGTCTTTGCGCGTTGCTCAAAGTGAAAGCGATTTTGAGAGGATCATCAAAGTCAAATTTCCATGCATCTGCAAGAATTCTTAGAAGGGAAAATAACGAAGGTACACCGTGCCACAAAAACAAAAAAAATGTAGTAACACCATGTTTTTAGTTTTCTCTTTGACGGCAGGAATTTTTTAAAAAGACTTTGTAGTTTCAAAGATATTATTAATTCCGAAAATCATTTAAAAAACTCTGCCCAATGTAGAATAACAATATGGGTGCCAACTGATTTTATTTTTTCAAGGTTTATAAAGATAGAAGGATGAATTTTCAGGAAATGGTCGAGTGTGTATTAGTTCTTTACATATAATTTTTTCGAAATTTCAAGGTTATCGAAGGATAACTTAAAAGGCCGTTTTCAATTACCACTCGTCCTTTTGTCGAAAGGGCTTCATATATATCAAATGTTTTCACAAAAGGGGAGCTTTCCCCGACGTTCGTTTTCGACTTAGATGGCGAAGTTCCTAGCATGAAGTTGAAAAGTGTCCATCGGTATACCTACCATGTCCATCCCCGGAAGGATGGCGGCAGTGGTACCATTCCTCGCCAATTCGTCAGCTTTGCAATTACTCACAATATCTCGGTGTCCAGGCAACCATTTCAGTTGTATTCTTGTATAATGCTAGTTAATCTTGTTTAAAGATCTGTGGCGTTCAGTGGGAGACTTTGTCAGAAAAGATAAGGATCTGGTTTGTTTTTTACCAAGGACCGTAAATAACAGTTATTTTTTCGTATACACTACAGTGGTCAGGAAACCGAAAATATATTTATAGTTCCAGGTTTGGGGAGAAGACTCCTCCTTCACCTTTCCGAAGAGCTTGGAGCCATCAGTATACATAAATACTCATACAAATGAAAATTATAAATTTTCACAAACTTTATAGCTCTTAACAAGATAATTCCACACAAAAACTTTTTTTTTTATGAAAACGTTTATATATCAATAAGATTGTATACATCA